CTCACATGTCTACAAATTGGCAACGTGGACTGGGCTCAGCTACGTGGTTTTCTGGGGTAACCACTTGTGAATGGTCTGCTGCTGGCTTGGTTGGGGCTGGTTGGTTCAGGATTGCCTCAGCAGAGACTGTTCTTCTCTTCACGTGGCCTTCACTCATCTCCCGCGGCTAGCCTGGCCTTGTACACATGATGACAGCAGAGTTCTGAAAGACAGTTACATGCAAGGCCTCTTGAGATCTAAGCTTGGAAATGGCACAGTGTCACTCCTTCCACATTTTCTTCACCAGGCCAGCCCAGATATAGGCATACCTCAGAGATATTGCAGGTTCAGCTCTAGACCACAATAAAACAAGTATTGCAATTCAGATAGTCATAATCTTTTTGCCGGCAGAGGATCTTGCCTTCAATTTATAAAAAAAAAAAAAGCAACATCTGTGAAGCGCAATAAAGTGAAACTCAATAAACAAGGTATGCATATACAGAGATGAGGAAATAGACTTCGTTTTTCGATGGGAGGAGTTGAAAACCACATTGAAAAGGTCATGGATACAGAAAATAGTGAGGATTGTGGTCACTTTTGCTAACTACTGCCCTTGCTGTGGACAGGAAGATTGGAAGTCAATACTGGAACAGCTGACCTTGGTTGAGGGGAACAACTTAGCTAGTATGGCATTCAGGTAAGAGATGATTTATGTGGTGTGGGGTGGTTATGAGGCAGAGAAGTGCTTACTTATTGATTTCTGCTTTGTCATCATACTTAACTTTTAGATCACATATTGTTTCATTGTTATTCTTTTATGAGGAAAAATAAGAACTATTTCTGAAATGTAGAGCATGCAACTTTAGGCTTCAGTCAGCATTTAATAAACCTTTTCTTTAAAAGAGAGAAAAAGACGAGAGAGACATACAGACATTCAAGAGTGTTCTGCTAGATTAGCTTTATGTTGAAGATCTGTCCAGTCTATGATTTATTCAGATAGCACTTGTTTTTGGTATAATAATGAAATCATTGCTTTAGTCTACTGCATTCTCTCTATACTGCATTGTCCTCTATTATTATTTTGTTCAAGCAGGATATTATGCTGAAGTGAACCATGCAATAAATTGTATTGAACAACATCAACAACAAAAATGTTCTGAAGTGTCATTTTCATTTCTGTTTGTACTATTCATTTAGAGTTATTACTTTGATAATATAATGTTTTTATGAGATAAAATTATAGATGACAACACAGATGAGTCAAATTAGCATGGTTTAATATAGTCAAGCAGTCAACAGCATCAGTAAAAGCAGTGGATACTACAGAGATCTCCCAGTTCCATTCTTTTACATTGCAGTATTTAACTATTCTCAACACATTGCTATGATGCCCAAGGGTAATTCTTTAGTCTAAAAACATGACATTTGAGCATGACCTGAAGCAGGTATAGGAGTAAGCCAAGCTGATAGCAGGGGAAAGATAAAATCAAGCAGGTTATTGGTATCTTTTGGAATAGCAGCAAGCTGATCACAGTGGTTGGAGAAAATTGAATTAGGGGGAAAAGAGAAGAGATTAGATCAAAGAGGAAAGGGGGGCAGATCATGTAGATGTTTTAGGCTGCTATAATGAGTTTGACTTTAATCTGGGATGTGGGAAGACAATGATAGAATTTTTAGCAAAAGATTGAAATGATTTGTTTTATTTATTAAAGGATCATTTTGCCTGCTCTGTTGGACTAGAACATGTATGTGTTGGATAGTGGTAGTGAATAGACAGCTATATAATGGAAGCTGGGAGTCAAATTTGGAAACGTGTTCTTTTCCCCAAAATTTATTTCCTCTCCTTTCTCTAATCATATCTAGATAGATAGATAGATAGATAGATAGATAGATAGATAGATAGATATAGATATATATATATTGTTGGGGTCCAACCCCAGCAGGTCCAGGGGTTCCCAAAGGTGTGGATGGAGTCGGCGAAGAAGGAATGACACGGAGACAGCATTCAGTTGATCAGCAGCCTAGCCAGGTTCTCTAGCCAGGTTCTAGCCAGGATCTCCAGCCAGGTTCTGTCCAGGTTCTCTTGCCATGTTCTCTTGCTAGGTTCTCCAGCCAGGTTCTGTGTTTTATTGTCTTGTTACATCTGTATTTACACCAGTTGATTTTAATCCTATCAATTTCTATTCCAAAGGTTAGGGTGTTTCTTATTTCCATTCCAGGGAGTAAAGATTAAAGTGATTAACTACCCACCTGGCACTTAGTTAAGGGGTTTTACTGATAAAAATCTTCACCTGGGGAAACAAACTTTCTCAGGGAGGTGGTCCTGTTTAAAACACATAATGTTAAGAGGGGGAGCAAACATATGCCATATACGCCAGGTCCCTTGAAACATAAGCTGTGCAGATGTTTCTTCCCTGCAGCGACTGTGTCAAGCAGCAAGGGTGGATTGGCTTCCAGCAATATATATATATATATATATATATATATATATATATATATATATATATATATACACACACACACACACACACACACACACACACACACACACACTAGAGGCCCGGTGCAGAAAAATTTGTGCACTAGCGGGGTTGGGGGGGTGTCCCTCAGCCCCACTTGTGCCCTCTCACAGTCTGGGACCCCTCGGGAGATAACAACCTGCTGGCTTAGGCCTGCTCCTGGGTGGCAGGGGCAGGCCCAATCCCTAGGTGCAGCCCCTGATCGGGCTTAGAGCAGGGCCAATTGGGGAGTTGGGGCCCCACCCCCTGTCATGCACAGAGCAGGGCGGATCGGGAGGTTGCGATGCCACCCCTAATCACGTTCAGGGTAGGGCCAATTGGGGGGTTGGGGCACTGCCCCCTGTCACACTCAAGGCAGCGTCGATGGGGAGGTTGCGGCGCCACCCCCTGTCATGCACAGAGCAGGGCCGATCAGGGGGTTGGGGCACTGCCCCCTGTCATGCACAGAGCAGGGCCTATCAGGAGGTTGGGGAGCTCCCCCCTATCATGCACAGAGCAGGGCCCATCAGGGGGTTGAGGAGCTCCCCCCTGTCACACACAGAGTAGGGCTGATCAGGGGGTTGGGGTGCCTTCCCCTGTCACGAACAGAGCAGGGTGGATAGGGAGGTTGTGGCCCTGCCCCCTGTCACACACAGAGCCGCAGGGCGATCAGGGGGTTTGGTCGCTGCCCCCTGTCTCGCTGCTCCAGGGGCCAGGAAGCCTCGCTGCTCAGCTGATCCCAGTGCTGGGAGGCATATTACCCTCTTACTATATAGGATAGAGGCCTGGTGCACGGGTGGGGACCGGCTGGTTTGCCCTGAAGGGTGTCCCTAATCAGGGTGGGGGTCCCCACTGGGGTGCCTGGCCAGCCTGGATGACGGGCTGATGGCTGTTTGCAGCTGGTCACACCCCCTTCAGGGTGGGGGTCCCCACTGGAGTGCCTGGCCAGTCTGGGTGAGGGGCTGAGGGCCGTTTTCAGGTTGGCGGGTGACTGAAGCTCCCAACCTCTCCTTTTTTTCTTTTTCTTTTTTATTCTGGGATTTATTTACCTTCTATGGCTGTCACTGGAGCTGAGAGCTGGCTTTAGCTCTGAGGCTCGGCTTCAGCTTTGAGACCTTGGCTGCTGAAAGCAGTATCTGTGTTTGTTTGGATTCTATAATTGAAACACTGTTTCAGCTCCAGCCCGTCTGGCTGAAAGCAGGTTTCTGGGGATTGTTTAGCTTCTATATTTGCAACATTGTTTCTTAGAGTGCAAGCTCAGAGGCCAGCAGCGGCAGGCGGGGAACCTTGGTTTCCTCCGTCACTGGAGCAAGCAAGCCTCCTGTTCACTTCAGCTTCCTGGCTGCGGGCCGCTATCTTGGTTGGCAGTTAATTTGCATATTGCCCTGATTAGCCAATGGGAAGGGTAGCGAAGTTACGGTTAATTACCATGATTCTCTATTATTAGATAGGATATATATATATATATATATATATATATATATATATTTTTTTTTTTTTTTTCCCCCTAATCCTTGCAAAGTATATTCCCCAGGATCCTTTGCTAGCATGTGTCAAGCTGAATTTGGTTAAGGAGAAATGCTGTTTTGAAGGTAAAGGCAGGAAAAAGGAAGAATGAGGATATTTCTCCCTTCTCTCATTTGCTTTTGGTGGTATTGTTAGTGGCTGCTGCACATGCTCCTTGCTGCACATTCTGGGCAGATCACTCTGGTTGCCATTTTGATTGAGTGATCTTGGCTCTTAGGTTCCAGTAATACTACTTCTAGGGGTAAAGTAGCAGCTCCCTGTAGTAAATAATGTCTGGATGATCTTAGCTCTTCTGTTTGTTTTAGACGAATGTTTTTATAATTAATCAGGTTCTATTAATTCTCCACAGTAAGTTCTGTTATTCCACTGGATCTTACCTAGTAGAGTGGGCTATTACAGTAGTCTAGACTAAAAATGATAGTGTCTTGGAACTGGTTGGTAGCAATGGAAGTGATGAGAAATCATTAGATTCAATAAATATTTTGTAGGTAGAATCAACAAGATTTCTACAAGTTTGATGAGTGTTGTGAGAGAAATAAGGAGTCAGAAATGACTCTAGCATTTTTTAAATGTAAAATTAAAAATAGCATAACTTGGGGCCGGGAGCCCTATTTGAATCCGCGGTGGTGGCGGTGGCAGCAGTGGAGTGGAGGGTGAATCAGCATCCGCAGCCTTGTGTCCTCTGGGAGTGGGTCATCGTTAGATGAAGCTGCAGATCAACCGTGCGCCCCCCTCAGGTGTGGTGCGTCTCCCCAGGTTCTGCCTTAGATCTCCATCTTAGTGATGTAAGCCTCGCTCCCCTGGATAAGGAGCTGGACCAGCAGGACGGAAGTGACCTGGGACCCACAGGTCAGATGTTGCTGCGGGGCTCAGAGCCCGTCACCATTCCTGGCTGCCTGGCCCACTCCCCATCCCTGCAATCCTCGTCATCCCTGTCCACCTCCCCGCTCAGCTTGCTCTCCCAGTCCTTGTCTCGGCCTCTTGTCTCCTCGGGCCATGACGCCCCCCCAGCAGCTGCCACCCCTCAAGTCGGACCCCAGGGTGCTGGGCTCCTCGGCTTCGTCCTACAACTCCCTAGGTTTGAATGGCGTCCCTGGGAGCATCTGGGACTTTGTTTCCGGCAGCTTCTCTCCCAGCCCGTGCCCCATTCTGAATGCCGGCCCCACATCCACTGCAAGTGCAAGTCCAAATGGCGCCGAACTGGCACAGGTCAGGCGGCAGCTGAACGAGGCCAAGAGGAAGATCAGGCAGTGGGAGGAGTCCTGGCAGCAAGTGAAGCAGGCCTGTGACGCCTGGCAGCGGGAGGCCAAGGAGGCGAAGGAGCGGGCACTGGCAGCGGACAGTGCCCGGCAGCTGGCACTGCAGAAGAAGGAGGAAGTGGAGGCCCAGTTCAGGCAGCTGCAGGAGGAGCTGGAAGGCCAGGGCATGTCCACACTCCCGGGGCTGCAGGGCTGCAGCGACATCGGTACCATATCACTGCCCAAGCTACAGTCGCTGCAGAGTCAGCTACTCCTGGATCTGGAGGCGGTGGACGGGGTGATCTTCCAGCTCAGAGCGAAGCAGTGCGTGGTGTGCCGAGAGCCGGCCCGCGGCGCCGTCCTGCAGCCCTGCCAGCGCCGTGTGCTCTGCGAGCCCTGTGTGGCCAGTGCGCCTGAGTGCCCCTACTGCGAGGGCCAGCCCCTCCAGTGGTGACAGCAGCCATGGTGGCCTCACTTCCTGGTGCCACCGATGTCGGGACCCCAGCCCAGCTGCATCCATCGTTTCATGGTATTCTCGTAGACCTTAAAGGCAAACCCACCGTACCCACCTGCCTGCAGCCCAGGTTTCGGGTGGGCACAGTAATGACATGGGGTTTGTGGTCCTGACACTACTGTGACCACATCCTGGGAGTTCATGTCCCGGCCAAGCACTTTGTAAGCAGAGGAATTTACGTGGACGGTCTCAGCTTCTATAAGCTGCTTTCTAGGTTCATGTCTTTTTAATATGCCATATGAAGCTTTGTATGTGTACTGTGAACTTAAAGTATTTCCTATCAGTTTATTGTAATTCATAGTATGGTAAATATATTTGATTTCATATTCTGAAAAAAAAATGGCATAACTTTCATTAACTAAGATGAGATGTAGGTGAATAAGAGAACAGAGAAGAAAATCTGATCTTCAGTTTTGTATATGATATGTTTGAGATGTTTATTATTCACCTCATTGGAGATGTCAAATCTTGTTTTATATATATATACACACACACACACACACACACACACATATATATACTAGTACATCTAGTATTCGGAAGAGAGATCCAAACTGGAGACAAACATTTGGAAATCAACAGTTTTTATAATTATCTATTTAAAGTTATTAGGCTAGAGAAGATCATCCAGAAAAATAAGCATATATGAAAAAGAGAAGAATACAAAAAGTAAATGAGAGTTCCATTTACCACATCTTGAATTATTTAAAATCTTATAAATCAGTGCTGTCCAATATAACTTCCTGAAATGATCTGCACTATCTAATATAGTAGCTGTATTAGTTTTATATTTCTACTATAACAAGTTGTCTCAACCTTGGTGACTTAAATAATACAAATTTAATATCTTGCAGTTCTATAGGTCAGAAGTCCAGCATGTCTCACTAGGCTAAAATCAAGATGTCCGCAGAGTTATATTTTTTTCTGGACGTTCTAAAGGAGAATCTACCTGCTCTAGCTTCCAAAGATCATCTACACTCCTTGGCTTGGCTACCTTTCTTCAACTCAAAGCCAGTAAGGCTTGTTGAATTATTTTCACCTTTCTACTCTGATCATCTCATTACTTCTTCAACTTACAACAACCCTGTGATTACACTGGGCGCACCTGAGTGATGTACTATCCCTATCTCAATGTCCTTAACCTTAATCACATTTGCAAAGCTTCTTTTGGTTTTTAAGGTAACACATTCTCAGGTTCTAGGGGTTAACTTGGGTGTGGCCACAACTTTGTGGACCATTATTCATTCTAGCAGTATGGCCACTATCACCATATGGCAATCGAGCACTTGAAGCATGGCTAGTGCAGCTGAGAAAAATATTTTTTCTTTGTTTTGTTTTAGTTAATTTAAATTTAAACTTAAATACCCACATGTGGACATGTAGATAGTGGCTGCCTTCTTGGATTAAGCAAATCTAGAAGAATAGGGGAGTGAATAGAATAGGGAAATGGTATAATCACAGACCAGCATTAAAAGCTGGTATGATTCAGAGTCATAAATTTAGGCAAGAGTAGCGTAGTTGTATTTCTATAGTCCTTGTTTATCTAGTAATAGCAGCCATATACTTGTTTTGAAGATATATTATCAGAAAAAGATAACCACAAACCAAGGAAGATGAAAATTTGAGATTCAAGAAACAGTGATGAACAGAGGGGCCAGAAATATAATTATTGAGGCTGCCACTACAAAATTTAATATAATTCTTAATGGGGGATTCATTAAACAGAAGATCCATGATGCCATGATGTAATAAACAATTATAATAACACTCAAAATTGAAATTATAAATTACATTAAAAAACATAAACAAAGTAAATGCAACATAAGATGGCAGCAAGTTTACATACTGATTAGGTAAATTCTCCTGTTTAACTTAAGAAAAAAGACAAAGAACATAATTAGCTGTTTTTAAGAACTACACTTAAATGACACACAAAAGTAAAAATTGAACAAAGAAATTAGAAGCCAGACAATACACAGAAAGAGAGTTCAGTGGAAGTGGGAGCCAGTCTTCTCAGTAGAGTTTTGGATTCACAATAGCTGTGAGGCTCAAAAAGCCCGTATCAAAACTAGCCAGAGAACATATATGCATAACCCATAGACACAGACAACAGTGTGGTGATGCCTAGAGGTTAAGGGGGCCGGGGGGCGGTGAGTGGGGAACATGGTGGAGGTGGGCAAAGGGTGAGAGAAGAATGGGGACATCTGTAAGAATCAACAAGAAAAACAAAGAAAAAAAATTAACTACTAAAAATAGAGAAAGTGGTCCCCAGTTAAGTTTCCCGAGATGTCTGGCAGAAGCAAATACAAATCTATTAATTTTTTTTTTTTTTTTTTGGTGGTGAGGGGCAATATGACTGACTATTACTGCCCATGAGTCTTCTAAAATAAAACCTGCAAATTTACATGTCCTTCTCATGAACCCTGAGAGTGCATTTTTTCCCTTTCAATGAGAAAAGCTTAGAGGAAGATATATATATATATATATATATATATATATATATATATATATATATATATTCATTCCAGTACTAGCAACATTAATCAAATTAATTGTCTGTTTATAATGCAGACCATGACCACAAAACATTTGCAAAAACTCAATAGCACAAGAGAAACACAACAAGATTATAACTTTTAGCAACAGGTCTCTATCTCTAAAAGCCTAGATAATTGAGGGTATATTGCAGAAAATATATAATTTGCTAGCAACAACAATAAAAAAGATTTAAAATGTCAGGACAAAAACAAAATATGTACAATGAATGATCTTAATATTGAGCAGAGTAAAATGTGGCCCGATTTTGAGTTGTCAAAACAATTTAAAAATAGAGAATCCATTGCACTGGATGTTTTCAGAGTCGCAAAGACTTGGTATGAGAAGGAAAGGTAAATTCTAGTACAGTATTTGGCTGAGGAGTGAACAAAGACATAATAATAAAATTACAGTTTGATGTTTTAGAACATTTTGATTAAACTTTTGACTAAGCACAGATGAATTAAATGTAATGTTACTATCCTTTTGACATCATAATAATGAAGGCATCTACATAGAAGTTTGAGATGAGCAGGAAGTGAAATGGTAGGGTCAATCATATTTTTCCGTTGCATAGTGTGTGGTTTAGATCCTATCTAAAGTTATCATTATAAGAAAGAATGGCTTAAGAATTTTACTTAAAATTACTATGTAACTACAGAGGAGTTAAAAATAAAATATCAAGTGTAAAAAATGACAAAGGCAAGACGAGAGAGCAATGTGAGCAAATCCTGATCTTTCAGAGGGAGGAGACAATAAATAATGTAAAAAATTATTTAGATTAAAAAAGATAATTATTTTATTCAGAGTTAAGGAGATATCTGCCAGAATAGCACAAAATAGAACTGAAAAAAGTTATTGCCTCTGGGAAGTGTAATTACAGATGTTATAATATTTTATACTGTCAAAATCTGCTTATAAGAAAGAGGAGATATAAAGAGAACAATATTTTATTTGTAATTTGTATTCACAGAGCATGTCAAGAAAACAATGTATCCAAAGAATAACTATTATTTGAAAAGATAGCTTTTCTGAAAGTCAAAAATGTCATAGCCTTCTAAAATTTTTTCAGTTTTTTTTATTTTATCTTTTAATTTCCAAATTATTTAGAAGAGTGCTTATTTAGAATTGGGTAGGTTTATTTATTTATTTATTTATTTTATTACTTTTTTTGTCATTTCCCTGTTTAACTAGAATTTTACTGTGCCCAGAGAATGTAATGAATTGAAATTCTACTTTTGTGAACTTTTAGAAATTTTCTTTGTAGTTGTAGAGATTTTTGTAACACCCATGAGATTGTAAAAAAGAATGAAAGTTATTTTTGTATCAAGTATAAAGATTTCTGAAACCTATTTTTATTATAATGCTAACTATATAATAGTGTAATACTGACATTTTAGATTATATACTTATTAATCTAAGCTATGTATAATTATTTTTGAGAGTGCTATGTTAAAGTCTTTACCCTGTGGCTTTGTCTGTTTCTCCCTCAACATCATTATATTTCAAAGACAGGCATGCTGCTTACAACACAAAGACAATAACTATTTCAAATTTAACAAATATAAAATATTTTTCCAGCCATTAATCTATTTTTTTTTTATATTTAAAGATTATTTTTGAGCAGTTTTAGGTTCACAGCACAATTGACAAGTACAGAGAGTTTCCACGTACCTCAGCCTCTACACATACAGAGCTTTCCCCATTATCAACATCCCCCACCAGTGTGGTCCACGTGTTACAATGGAAGAACCTACGTTGAAACTTCATAATCACCCTAAGTCCATTGTTTACATTCAGGTTCACTCTTAGTGTTGTACTTTCTATGGATTTGGGAAAATGTAAAAAAGTATGTACTCATCATTACAGTGTCATGTAGAGTACTTTCACTTTCCTAAAAATCCTTTATACTCTGCCTATATATCCTTCCTGCTCCCTAATTTCTAGCAACCACTGAGCTTTTTACTGTCTCCATAGTATTTTCTTTTTCTAGAATGTCATATGGTTTGAATTATACAGCATATGGCCCTTTCAGATTGGTCTTTTACTTAGTAATACGCCTTTAATGTCCTTCCATGTCTTTTCATGGGTTTACATCTCATTTCTTTTTAGCACTTAGTAACATTCCTTTGTCTCAATATGGCACATTTTATATATCTATTCACCTATTGAAGGGCACCTTGGTTGTTTCCAGGTTTGGGCAGTTATGAATAAACCTGCTATAAACAGCTGTGCACTGGTTTTTGTGTGGACGCAAGTTTTCAGCTTCTTTGAGTAAATGCCAAGGAGCATGATTGCTGGATCTTGTGGTGACGGTATATTCAGTTTTCTGATAAACTGCCCAATTGTGCTCCAAAGTGGCCATCTCATTTTGCATTCCCACTAAAACGAATGAGAATTTTTGTTGCATACATC